TTTTTTTTTTTTTTGAGAAGGGTTCTCACTGCGTTGGTCAATCTGTCCTCAGTTTCCTGAGCTCAAGTGACACCCTTGAGTGTAAGCCTCCGCAGTAGTTGAGACTTCAGGAAGGGACACATCACCCTGTGCCCACCTCAAAAATTTTATGAAACTGAAGTGTGAACTGGGCATGCCTGTAATGTCAGAATTCAGGAGGCTGAAGCAGGAGCATCACAAATTCCTTCTATTTCTAGGCCACCCTGGGCTATAGTAAGTTCTTCACAAGCCTGAGCTACAGTGAGACCCGGTTTCAAACATTTCAGGACAAAACTAAACAATTAAAATTTTAACAAGGCCTAGGGAGGTAGCTCAGGGCCTCAAAAAAAAAAAAAAAAAAAAAGTGGTTTAATGAGGCCAGGGGTGTAGCTCAGTGGTAGGCTGCCTGCCTAGCATCATGAGGCCCTAAGTTCAATTTCTTGTACTACAAAAATAAGTAACTGTGGTTTAGACTATGTGCTGCTGAAGTGGGCACATAAATAACTATGGTTTAATGAGAATTGGGCGTGACTATTTCCTGCTGTAGTGGAGCAATGTCTTGCAGGCTTCACCCTCCGTGGGACTCATTTGTCTTTCTGACTCTTTGCAGGTGCCCAAGGGGGCTCAGTGGCCCACACACTCCTGGAAGATGGGACATTCAGGGTTAGAGTGGTGACCCGGAACCCTGGGCAGAAGGCAGCCAAGGAGCTGAGGCTGCAAGGCGCAGAAGTAGTGCAGGGAGACCAGGATGACGAAGCCAGCATGGAGCGGGCCCTGACTGGAGCTCATGCTGCTTTCATTGTGACCAACTACTGGGAGAACTGTAGCCAGGAGCAAGAGGTCAAGCAGGTAAGAGCAGGTATGAAGGGTTGGGAAGGGAGGCCATGTTTGGGAGCACTAGTTTTGGAGCATGCCTATAATCTCAGCTACTGGGGAGGCTGAGGCAGGAGGATCACAAGTTCAAAGCTAGCCTGGGTAATTTAGCAAGACTCTTGTCTCAGAAAAAAAAAGCTGGGTGTGGTGGCGCACACCTGTAATCCCAGCACTCGGGAGGCTGAAGCAGGAGGATCCCTGTGAGTTCAAAGCCAGTCTAGACTACAAAGTGAATTCAAGGCCAGCCTGAACAGCGTAGTGAAACCCTGCCTCAAAAAGACAAAAATAAATAAATACATTAAATAAAATAAAGAGTTGGAAGATGGAGCTTAGTGCTCCTTGGGCCCAATCTCTAGTACTACCACAACCACCAAAAAAAGAACAGCTCCATCTTGCCACAGAGGGCTGAGCACTGTGACCCTTCCACTCTTCCACGTGCCCCTGTGGGTCGTGGTGGGGGACCAATTCTTAAGCACGTGAACTCTCAGGTGACAGACCACATGTAAGCCATAGCACACAGAGTGGACAAAAACCACTTCTTTTACTGAAGCCGATCTCATCTCTAATTCTGCAGAACCTCTGTGAGCTGCTTTAGGGCTACTATAATGAACGAACATAATCCAGATGGTTTAAAATCCACAGAAACTGATTTTCTCATGGTTCTGGAAGCTAGAAGTCCAAACTCAAGCTGTGAGCAAGGTCACACTTTTCCAAAGCCTCCAGGAGAAAATCCTTTCTCACATCTCCTACCTGCTAGTGGCTCCAGTCATTCCTTGGCTTATGGCTGTATTACTCCAATTTCTGTGGCTTTGTCTTCAGATGGCCTCCTCCTTATGTCTTTTACTCTTTTTTCTCTTATAAGGATGCTTGTTATTGGATTTAGAGCTTACTTCATTTATCTTGGATAATATATCTAAAAATCCGTAATAATAGCTGCAAAGACCTTTTCTCCAAATCAGGTCAGAGTCATGTGTTCAGGGATGAGGACATGGACATATCTTAAGAGGTACTATCCAACCTCTTACACAATGAAGCAGATATTATTTGCTTGGGTGTCTTTTTTTCCCCTCTGGTCCTGGGCATTGAATCCAAAGCGTCATGTTTGCTAGACAAATGCTCTACCACTGAGATGCATCCCCAGCCCTTTTGTTGTTTTTGAGGTGGTCTCATGTAGTTCAGGCTGACGTTGAACTCAAGCTGATCCTTCTGCCTCAGCCTTTTGAATGTTGGGATAACAGCACACTCACCCCTTTCTTCAATTTATTTATGTTTGCTTCTTTGTTTATTTTTTGAGACCTTGCTATATAGTTCAGGCTGGCTTGAATTCACTATGTAGCCCAGGCTGGCCTCAAACTTGTGGCAATCCTGCGTTAGCCTACCAAGTGCTGGATTATAGGTGTGCACCACCATGCCCGGTGCAATTCTATATTGAGACAAGGTTTTGATAAGTTGCTCAGACTGATACTTGTGATCTTCATGCCTCAGTCTCCCTAATAGCTATGATTATAGGCCCATGCTATCATGCCTGGCTTATTATTTGCATTTAACTGATGAGGTCAGAATAGTTATAACACACATCCTGGATCATGCAGCCTGTGTACTTCATTGCCAACCTGTAGCACCTCCGTAGTGCAGCCATAGCACTTTCTTCTCCAGGGAAGTTGGTGGAGCTCCACGGACAAGACCCAGGCCAGCAAGAATGGGATGTGGATATCAGATGGTTCTCTGTGAAGCCCTCTCCCAGGCAGCACACCTGTCCACATTTTCTTGGTGCACAGGGTGGGCTGCAGTGGAGAATAAGCAAATATTCTAGAAAGGTGACCTTAGAGCCTGCTGGTAGAAGCCTCATAGTTCTGAGTTGAAGGAGATGGTGTGATGTGTATCATTCTGGACGAGCAAGTTTCTTTCTGGGGAGATGGGCCTTGGTCTTAGCCTCACAGATGTGACAGCTCTGGGATTACAGCATCAGTGGCGGGTATGGTTGGGGACTCACATCCTTCCTCTTAGCCTTGCAGTCTCTCCTCTGCCCACCAGGGAAAGCTGCTGGCTGATCTGGCCAAGCGCCTGGGCCTCCACTACGTGGTCTACAGTGGCTTGGAGAACATTAAGAAGCTGACGGCCGGGAAGCTGGCAGCTGGCCACTTTGATGGCAAAGGGGAAGTGGAGGAGTATTTCCGAGACATCGGTGTTCCCATGACCAGTGTGCGGCTGCCTTGCTATTTTGAGAACCTCCTCTCTTACTTTCTGCCCCAGAGAGCCCCAGATGGAAAGAGCTACTTGCTGAGTGAGTGCCCTTCCCCATGTACAGTGAGGAGAGTTTTCACCCTGTGAAGCTACGGGTGTAATAGAAGAGCAGGTTTGTCAGGTGGTTCTGGGCCCAAGCTCTGGTTCCCTCACATCACGCCTGAGACTGAGCCTTGACTGATGTCCACAGGGGCAACAAGAAAATGTATGGCAGTGATGATGGTGTGATGCTTTGCCCATCGGACAGCTTTTACAGAGAGAGGAACATGGTTATTATTACTTTTTCTTCAAAGATAAGAAGAAGGGCTGGGCATATAGTTCAGTTGGTAGAGTTGAGCAAGGACCCTGGGTTGTATCCCTAGCACCCCACCTCCAAAAAAAAAAAAAATTGTAGATGATGGAGTTTTGTAGATTTCACAAAGTAGGGAAGCTGGCTCTTCTCAGAGTCTGCTGGCTAATACAGAAACAGGTTAGGTACACTGGCCCCAATTTGGAAGGAAGCCTCAGTCACCATGTGTCCTGCCAGTCAGTGAGTGGACAAGAGCAGGACACGTGAGAGCCAGAGAGGAAGAGGCTGGTGCCTGATGGCTACTGCTTGCCCTCTGAGTCAACATCACTGACTCACCTGAAGGATAAAGCACTGCCAGAGCCCAGGGGGTCCTGTCCACTTGCAAGTGGAGTACAGTGTTAGGAACAGTCCACTGACAACACCCTTTGTATTATGCAGGGCTGTTGTCAGGAATACTTTGCATTCTATTTCTGAAATATTTGCATTCTGTTTCTGAATTGGGCTCTGTCTTACTTCTGTCATTGATGAGACAAAATACCTGACACCCGAAGTTAAAGGAAGAAAGGTTTATTTCAGGTCACAGTTTGTAGAGATTTCAGTCCACAGTTGGCTGGCTCCACGGCAGGGTGGCTTGGCAGAGGGGCATAGCAGAGAAACACTTCATGGCGGGCAGAAGGCAGCAAGGTAGCCAGTGACCACAGCAGCCCTCTTTCTGTCCCGTATATTCTATCTAGCTTACTTGGCCTTAGGTAGCACTTACACCCAGGTTGGGGTACTCGTAATCCTAGCATTGAACCATGAATCAGTCCCAACATCACATCCTTAATCCCAGCATCAGACACTCTAGATCCAGCCATCTCTTAAAATCCCACCTGTAACTGCATGAGGCTTTGGGGGGACATCTAGACACAAGCCATGACAGGCTCCATCCCCTCTGGCTCCGTGGATGATCTGAACAGACAGTTGGGTAACTCCTTTTTCTGGGTGAAGAAGATAGCACGACCCACCCACTCCTGACTCCATACCTGGACACTGACCTATGTGGTCAGCTCCAGACACCCTGAGGAGGCTGTGTCTGCGAGCACATCTCTCTGCCCTGCAGACTTGCCCATGGGTGATATCCCCATGGATGGCATGGCTGTGAGCGACCTGGGTCCTGTGGTGCTCAGCCTGCTGAGGATGCCAGAAGAGTACGTGGGGCAGAACATTGGGCTCAGTACCTGCCGGCACACTGCAGAGGAGTATGCTGCGCTGCTCACCAGGCACACTGGCAAGACTGTGCACCACACCAAGGTGGGCTTATGCTTCTGGGGATGGCGTGGGGGTGTTGTCCCAGTTGCTACAAAGGAACAGCTTCTAGCTTCTCTCAAAGGGGCCTTTTGGGATTGTAGGGAAGGAGTTTCTAGAGCTGCCCATCTCTCTGAACAGTGTAAATCTAAATTAACTGTCATTGTTAACATTCATGTCGCGCTGTTCCTAAGACCTTAGTATGGCCAGAGTGAAATTGTTGGGTTAGACATTTTACCAAGGAGACTTAAAGGTTTCCAGGAAGAATGACTATAGGAGCCAAGACAGGGAAGTTTGAAAAGGCAGGGCCGCTGCAGGATGCATGTTGAAGAAAGACCAGACCCATTTCCTCTTGGCCTGGCTGGGTGGCCAAGAACCCCCACCCTTCCTCTCTCTGATGACAATGAAGTTTCCTGGCCAGATCCCTGGATGTTGGTTTCTAATGTTGTCTTACTCATTAAAATCTGGGGACTGGCATGGTGGTGCATATCTGTAATCCCAGCAATCAGGAGGCTGAGGCAGGAGGTTTGCTATGAGTTCAAGGCCAGCCTGAACTACATAGCAAGACCCTGTCTCAAAACAACACAAAGAAAACCTGGTGACACTGAGTTGAGACAAGCCACACACAGAACTCCTACACAGATGCAAACAGTAGCAGGAGGAAAAAGGAAAGTGGGAAGGGAGTCAGGCTCATGGACTCTGATCCTGGCTCCAGCCCAGTCCTTAAGGCCATCAAGGTGTAAACTTGAGCCTGTTCCCTGACCCCTCCCTGCTTCCATTTTGTCACTTGTAAAGTGGGTGTTAACAGTAGCCATCTCCTTGATAAGTGACCTTAGTTTTTTTAGTGCAGTGCCTGCAAAACACACCAAGTAGCCAGTGTTACTTTAAAAAAACACCTGGGTCAAGTCATGGATAATGTTTTTTTTTTTTTTTTAAATCTAGTACTAGAGATGAACTCGGCCTTTGCACTGAGTTGCATCTGAGTTATTTTTTTGTTCAGACCAAGTTCTTGCTGAGTCACCAGGACTAGGTTTGAACTTTGTGATTCTTTTTTTTTATTTTTTATTTATTTATTTATTTATTTTTTTTGTGATTCTTTTTTTTTGAGACAGGATCTTGCTATGTAGTTCAGGCTGGCCTTGAATTCACTACGTAGCCCAGGCTGGCCTCAAATTCACTGCAGTCCTCCTGTCTCAGCCTCCCAAGTGCTAGGATTGATTCTTCTGCCATAGCCTCCCAAAGGGTTGTGAAGGATTCAAAGAGCTAAGGAGTTAAGATTTAGTTCAGCTCAACATAGAGGTGCACACCTTTAACCCCAGCTCTCGGGGAGGCTGAGGCAGGAGGATCATGAATTACAGTCCTATGTGGGCAATTTAATGACTTAGTGATACCCTGTCTAAAAATTTAAAGGGAGGGGGGCTAGGGAAGTAGCTCAGTGTGAAGGCCCTAGGTTAAATCCTCGGTAAGCCACCCCCGTAAAAGGGACATAGTTTGGGTGAGCAAAGGAACAGTTTTGACTCATGAGCAAAAGAAGTGATGTTGTACATTTCTCCTTTAGAAGGCACTGAGACATTTTTCTTTTTCTTTTTTTTTGTCATCTTTTTGAGACAGGGTCTCCTTGTGTGGTTCAGGCTGACCTTGAGCTCACTTTGTAGCCCAGGCTGGTCTTGAACTCATAACGATCCTCCTGCCTCAGCCTCCTAAGTGCTGGGATGACAGTTGTGCGTCACCACACCTGTCATCTGAGACATTTTTCATCTTATGATACTGAAAGTATAGTCTTTAGACTGACTAAAGTTATCAGGTAGCTCTTGAGAACAGTGGTTTCCAAACTCTCTTCTTGCCAGGAGTGGTGGCACACGTAATCCTTGCACTTGGAAGGCTGAGACAGGAGGATCACTGTGAGCTTGAGGCCAGCCTATGTAGCTTAGGCTACATAGTGAGTTCAAGGCCAGTCTAAACTACATAGTAAGAACCCGTCTCAAAAAAATACAAACAAGGGGCAGGGGATACAGCTCAGTGGCTTAAGCGCCTGCCTGACAAGTCCAAGGTCCTGAGTTCAATTCCTGGTACCAAAAAAACCCCAAACAAACAAACTTTTCAAATGACGTTATAGTAAGGACTTCGGTCACCAATCCAGAGGCCAATAGTGGCTCTGGGGGAAGCGTGTGGGGAGACTGAAGCCCCCCTGCTTCTCCGCACTGCCTTTCCGGCATGCTGGAGGAAGCCAGATGTGTTGGACTCCCTCTGGTTTCAGATAACTCCTGAGGACTATGAGAAGCTTGGTTTCCCCGGAGCCTGCGACCTGGCTAACATGTTCCGTTTCTACGCCCTGAAACCTGACCGTAACATTGAGCTGACCCTGCGTCTCAACCCCAAGGCCCGCACACTGGAGCAGTGGCTGGAGCAGCACAAAGGGGACTTCACCCAGCTCTGACCTCCACTTTACAGCCCGAGCCAGGGGACAGGAGACCCAGATGCACAATCATCCTTTCTTGTGTACAAAAATTGTTTTTTCAAATAAAGCCATTGTTCTCCCAGATGACTTCCAAAAGAAAAGGGCTCTGTTTCTGTGGGATAGGGTAGCCGCTTCTGGGACACCAACAGTATGAAAATTCTAGAAGGACCGAAGGGCTGAGGTGGGTGCTCAGCCTCC